AAGACAAAATCACTCAGATTAGGAGCCAAATTGAGCTCAAATGTAGATAAAAATATTAAAACTATATGTTGGCATGAATACATACAATTTTTCAAGCATTGAAAGTCCTCTGAACGATGATTTGGTTAACGTTTCCAGCTTGTTGTCATGTAGTTGTCTTAAAAACGAGAAGTTAAGCTATTAAATTTATTGGGTACGTTGTACCGAAACAGATAAGATAATCAGGCAGTAAGATATTTGAATCACAGCAATCTGGACCGCAGTCAACGATACGATAGGTTCGATTTCTACTGCATTCACATAAAGTCAGTATCATCCTTTCCTCGCAATAAAATAAATTAAGAAAGGAAATATAGATGCGTGACAACAACAAAGACAAAAACAAAGGAGTTTCTTTCCAGGACACTGGACCACTTTCTCTCAACAACTGGACCGTGCATTCTAAAACTTGTCGTCATGCCCCTGAATAGGCATATTATAGCTCATAACCATTTATCACCGATATTTTGAAATAAGCACTGGTTGCCTGTGACAGATCACTAATAACAATTCATCCACAACAGAAATAGAATGTCTTTTTTATTTTTTGGTGAGACCAGTCGTACTGCCAATAACACAACACTACTCGAAGCATTGCTCAAACTACTCAACTGAAATAACTTTTTACCGATAAGATCATGGTGACTAGAATACTTCCTGGACTTAGACGTACTTACAGCGCTCTAAGCTTTCTTTGGTTACGGAAGAGTCCATCAGGGATTTTTTGAATCGCATTACTATGCAGATATCTATCAAATGTAAATAAGAAGAAAAAAGACGTCCATAAAACATTTTATATGTTTTTTTTTTGTGGTTAATTTTCACTACGAAGCTAAGGCGTGCACATCGCTAAGTTTGCCAGCCACAATTTGCTGTTTAAGTTGAACTATTTTTTGTGTGTATTTCATTTAATTCTCCGCATTGCAACTTGCCAGCACTRTCTTTAGAGAGRCAGCACTACTGAACAGAGACAGAACTCAATAGCTTAGGTTCGTACRATTATTCATGYATTYATACACATGTATTTCACTGAACATCGTCCAGGAGAACGTCGAACAGCCATTGTCGAAGGGAGTTAGTATGAGCGGTTATATGTTAAGCACAAAACATACACGTGATCCTTGTCGCCCAATAACTCGAGCATAATAATAAAGGAATGCCTCGCTCCTTGACCGTTCTTTAATTGAGATAGTGAATCTGTTTTGTGGATGTTTTTGGATTGTATATTTAAGTTGTTCGAGTTATTTGAAAACATTCACCTTATTCTTGTTGACCAAAACTCAATAATAAAGGAATGCTTCGTTTCTTCGCGAATTTGTTGTTATGATTTTTCGATGAGATAATAAAGCTGTTGTGAGTAAATGAAACTTTCGAAAAAGGGACATTGTGARCATATGATTATCATTATCATTCTATTGGACTCCATTAGATTCCATTTGGAAACAATTTAATTATCGGACGCGTCCCGTAAGAGTCTACACAGGAAGCCCAATTATTAATCAAGTTAAGTGTTCATTAACCTCCAGAGTCGGTCGCAGCAAGGGTTCCGGTGGCATGGCCCACCAGGAAAATTTTGAATCTTAAATCAACGAAACGCGATTTCCATCATTTTGAGGGAGTTTGAAGACGTTTATTACTTCTTTTTTGCTTTACTCTTTTTGGTCACTTCTTATTCGGGGGATCGGGGGAGGCGCGGACTTCCAAAATAAGCCCTTGGTTTGAATTTTTTTTACTTACAGAGACATCAATTGTGTATTGTTCTGAAAAGTATTAACGTCAAGAAACTTGATGAGGTTGTCACGAAGACTTCTAAAAACAAAAACATAAATTAAAAAAAGCACACACACGCACAAAGTGATGTTAATGATGTTAACAGGAACTTACAATACTTTCAAATCTCGTAAATTGGAAAAAGTCTGACCCCCAATGCTCGATAATAAATTATCTCCAATATCTCTGAAAAACACAATGAGATCCAGAATGATTAATATGCATTATGGACAATCCATCTTACTACCKCTAAAGGCAAGAACACGCCATTGCAATGAACAGTCTTGTACATCATTAGACACTATGTTGAATTAAATTAAGAAATTAAATTAAAACAAACGAAAAAAGTTAGACTTTCTGGTAGTAGAAACAGATAGCCGGTTGTACAATAGTAGACGCGTGCTGACAGCAACCCTATGTGCAAGCGTATGTAAAATGTGTCTGTAATATAGCATTTGAGTAGCGCGTTGATCTCGCAATTCAGCACACGTGCTGCTTTTAGGACAATTAGCACCCTTTTCCCTTTTTCGCTTATGCTATAAAGCACTTATTAAGCCTTCCCTTCTTTTAAAGGTCCACCAGCATCCCTTTCGAGCTTTTGCTCGTAATATAAGCAAAACCATACACTTTATTTATTTAAGCGATGGATGGAAACGGATCGCGAAATGGATTGAATGCTGGTGTACCATTTCCTTTTAGGAAGTTCCATTCCTTTGTTCAAAATACAGCATTTTCAAGCTAGTATATGACRATATATATTTCTATTAGTCCAGAATACTTGATTGGTTAATAATCAGCCCATCAAACAGAGTACGTAGTCAATTGAACGATATTTAATCCGATCATGTACTTACAGGTTTTGCAGTGTTTCGACTGCGTCCCATGTTTCGCTTTCTATTTCTCTCATGAAATTCATGTTGAGCCGCCTAAGAAAACATTGGAAATTGTTAAAAGTACAATSATTAAAAACCTGCATTTAATGCGGTTGTGGATAATTGTTTTGCGTCACATTATACATGTACTTACAAAGTATGAAGCGATGGAAGAGTGGAGAACGATTTTTGATCCATGTGGATCAGCCTATTATAACTCAGGTCTCTAAGATTAAGTAATAACGTGTTACTTTTATGGAACTCAACGTGATGTACTACGTTTATCACTGAATATTAAGGTCCACAAAAAGGTCAAACTAGTTCCGTCCCTACTATGATGAGTTCACCTTAAAAAGGGATATGGATTTATTTAGATTTAAGATATTCAGCCTTTAATGGATCATCTTTTATCTTATTCAAAGTTTACTAACAATTCAAATGTCCTAACAAATAGTATRAAATAATACAAAAATACAATAAATAAGTGTWCAACTGTATATTTAGGGAGAGGCCTCCAGAATATTGAAACTCTCTAAAGTCTTAAAAGGTAAASGTATTTTTTCGAAGTGCCTAGAAGCCATCACAACACCAAAAATGCTTTGAAGAACAATTGACAACCACTTTCTCATCCTTATTTCAAAATACTGCTAAACATAATGATGATGTTATTTTGAARGGTGGATCGCGGTATGAACTATTAGTGAATTACCATCAAGGCATTTTAATTTTAAATAAAAAAATATAATGTCAACTTACATTAAAGACAGATATTGCAGATTCTTGAAGGTCTTGCTATCTATCCGAAAAATTTTATTTCCAGAGAATAAGCTGAAAAAGGTTATGATCAGTAAACGATTAAACAAAAATTAATTGCTATCCATTACAATTGTTAGTGCATGAATTGGAAAATATCAATTGTAAGACTTTAGACATCGGCGATGCAATAAGGCTGGTAAATTGATTCACCAAAGAGCAAAAGATGGAAATCACTGACTATGAGATGTGATGCGATAATTCCCGCCGAGGTGGATACTATAGTAGTGGTCATGTTTTTCTCCACTCTCGAAAGTCGGTCACTTGACGGAAAAGTAGCCGCTACGGAGGGGTGCTATTAGTGCATAGAGACCGCAGCATCAGTTCTTTTTTGGAATAAAAAATACAGCAGTTGATTAATTATCCGGTATTTTGTTGTGATATTTGATCTTGGAAACTAGGTATTCCTCAAATCTTCATAATTTTATTTATTATTCGGAACATCCAGTTTCTGCGTGAGATCACCGCAACATAATGTCCTCGATTAAACTACTCTATTGATTAAATAGGTATCAAATAAATAGCTCACACGACAGATGTTYTCAGAGGAAGTTGACCAGGAACTGAATTAAGACTTCGGGATGAGACTACAATTCTGCCATCTGACAGCCTTCGACATTCACATTCAGCTGGGCAATCTAAAACAAATATCCAATTATTATCAAAACTGTTYGTAAGAGTCATGAGAAGAAAATCATTTATCAAAATTTCAGACCTTGCAAACATTCTTTATTGGTGTCGTCATCTGTAACAAATATCAAGACGCAAGCTTTGAAATTTCTCTCAATCAATCAATACAAATTGATCAACCAGGCAAAGAACYAACCAACAAACCAACCAATGAAACAACCATTTAGACAGATAACAAAGCAATGAATCAAAGGAATAATRCCTGTAAATTTCTATATAAGAAGCTAAGTTGTATACCGTTTATTTGAATAAAAGCTTTATAAAAGTATCAACAAGTTTTACCCATTGAAAGGAGGTGCAAGGAACGCTTACAAAAAGAACGAAACAACCATGGAAAGACACATATAATGTTTGAATTAGATGGAATACAATTAACCTGTAGTACCTTTCAGGATCCGGTAACGTGCCATAAACCCTGCGCGGGTGATCCTCGCATTTGAATGAAATAACACAGAAAATTGGTTGGTGGTTGACTGAATGATAGGTGGATACCTGGAACAAGATTGGCGACTGTGAGAAAATACTTTCTTTCTCTATAGAAGCCTTATACAAACAATATAATGTCTGATATAGAAATGAAAGAAAGTTATAGTGCTTAGTTATAGTGCTTATTTATAGAGCCACAAGGCCAGACTGGGAGCAGGTCTGTTTCACCCCGACCTGCTCCCAGTCTGGCCTTGTGGCTCGGCTGGTGATGCATCGGTAGTACAAATCCGAAGGTCGTGGGTTCGAATCCCAGCGATGTCGGAAATTAATTTTTCAGAGTCTGTTCCTAAGGGCCTTTCTCCCGGAATTGCCTCCTTCTAAGCACTATAGCTTTCTTTCATTTCTATATCGTGTCTATCATAGTGCCATGCGGTATTCATATTCATATCTTTACAATGTCTGATAGCTTGGTGGTAGAATCTTATACCTCGCACCACAATATCTACCGATTCGTGTCTCGCCATCATAGACCTCTACGTAGTCATTTTCACATCGCGTGCTCATTTCCAGCTCAAACTCATCGATATCTAGTCGAATCACGTGACCTTGCCTTGCTTTGATGGTCGAGTTGCAGGTGGCGTTGTTGCTGTAGTAACTAGGATAGTAGGGTGACATGATGAGGCCAGATGAGTTTGTAAATATTTCATTACAGGCTGAGAAAAAATCAAATGCTCATTTACATATATGTTAAAAAAAA